GTCAAATCCGATTACCTCTCAAAACCGATACTAAACCCGTCCACCATGCATACCGGTTCTGAGAGGGCCGACTGTAACAGTATTAAAATAAAAATTTTTTTACTGAATATTATCATATAGTTATCGAGTACCTTCACTAGAAGTTCCAAAAATCTTTAGAGGGATCAATCTTGTTGATTAACTGTTTTCTTTTTTTAGTTTGTATCACTCGCAGAAATAAGTGCCCGAACGCACTTCTAGTGTCACATGACACAAATTAACTCAGTGCAACTCAGTGCCAATCGGAGTGCGAGTCGTGGAGTCGATCAGTGTTTAAAATTACGACATTAAACAACTATTTGAGAACATTCTGGCAAATTCTTTTAATATTAATAAAAAGTTTAATTTTCTTATATAGAGAACATTAAATCTTAAAAAATGTTATTTTTGAGAACATGAAGTCAATTTTAAATTTTAACGATATTAACCAATATAATTGTAAAGACTTTTTTATAATAAATTAACAATAAATCTTCATTAAAGGTCTTAAGGCCTTCATTAAATATATGACATCGTATAAGCATTTGATACATTTATTCATACTAACGGATAGTGTTCCGATTTGGATTAAAAAACTCGGGTTGATCCGGGATTGAAACGAAACCGACTGAATCCAAAATTTCTGTTTGCATCCGAAGTATTTAATGGCTAAATGGTTTAACCTGGTCAACTTGGGATTATATATTAGTGCGATGTGAAAGAAAAAACTGAACCCAAATCTCAAAATTAGGCTTTCCCGGCAATCCGAAACTTTTGGTCCAAACAGATCTTACGGTTCGAATCTTCGGATTGGATGATAATTCGAATCCGTCGGATCCGGATACTAATAAAATATCTTCATATCGTAACAATGGCATAAGCCGTAGTAATTCTACCGAAGGGACGTCTTATGGTTTGGGGATGTCATAGACTCAATGGAGTCTACTCATTAATCAGTTTCAATAATAGTTAAATAATGGGTTAACATCCCTATTATGGTCAAGAAGTTTCCACTTTTACGCTTCAGATAACTAGGTTTCCTTATTGAGTTATTCTTTCTCGAATTAATCATTGGAAAAATGTTAGACTTTGAATCAAATTTTTTTTTTTTTGGTTTATTTTTTACTTTGTTTAAATTCAAATAGATTAATAAATTTGTAACTGTATCTATAAAGCGTGTAATGCAAAATCAAAACTACTTTGTTTAAAAAAATCGTTAATAATTAATAAAAAAAAATTGTCACGTTACACTTGATTTTTGTTACTGTTATGCTGTACTGTAACAATACATTTTATTATATTAGGTTTATATAATTAATTATTTTTGTAACCATAGGTTACATTATCCTTAACTATGATCAGTTGTAACGTGGCTGTCAACCCAAAATTTTGTTGGAACGTAAGAGATGGTTTCATATTGTCCACACCCAATTCCAAGCCCTGACCAAATTAATATCTCAAAAACTTTATTTATAATCTTCATTTAAACAACTGGTATATATTTTTCATAGATATATATAATTTATTTGCAAAAATATCAAAGTTACTTTTGAATTAATTTTAATAAATGAAAGTTGTTTTTTTTTTTGATTTTGTTCGGGTTTTGCCAGCAAGTATAGTTACACCTGATCTAAAATGGTATGGCTTTATTGGATGTGGCTACAGTAACCATGAGGCAATTTTATTGATATTTTTAATATATTGTGATACTTGGTTTTAGATAAAATAGTCCTCTTCTGCGCTTTGAACAATTATATTTTTCTCTATATCCATCACACTTTAAATGCGTTTCTGTAAACACCTTTTTACTTTCTTTAATATTTTTCGTCTTTTGGCTTGTCCATTTTTATGTCCATCAGTTAGTAATCAGGAAAAGTCTCATAACGAAACAGCAAATCCTTCAAAACCACCTGATTGTGATGATTTAGCCGGTGATAATTCTAATAAAGAAGAATTTCAAAATGAAGCAACGAATCCTTCAAAATTGCCTGACTGTGATGTTTTAGTCAGTGATCATGCCAATAAAGAAGAATTTCATAATAAAGCAATAAATCCCTCAAAATCGCCCGATTGCGAAACGGCATATGATTCAGTTAGTGGTCTGGCTAATAAAGAATTTCATAATGACCATTTAAAACCTCCCGGTTATGAAACGATATATAATTTAGATATTGAATATTCTGAATTAGCCGATCTTAAGCCGTTCGAATCAGGAGGTTTTGGAACTGTTTATAAAGGACAATGGAACGGATTATGCATAGCAGCAAAATTTGTTAAACGTGGAGGTTTTTCAACAGAATTGAAAAATAAAGATTTTGAACGCGAGGTTTGTTGAAATAGAATATAAAAATGGGTCGTAAATAGTGATGTGCCACGTACAGTACGCTAAAATTTTTGCCGATCACGTACGTACAGTACGTACTGTACGCTAAAATTTTTTAGGTATCATGTAAATGGCACATCACTAATTGTAAATAAGTTAATCATGATTTAAATTTTTTTTTCAGTTGGAAGCCTTAAGGACATCCAAGTATTGTAAAGAATATATAATCCAATTCTATGGATTGTCTCAAGGTAAATTTATTTCCATACTTAAATCATTCATTAATCAATATCGATCATGTCGCACAGGAAAAATATTTTAAAGTTTATTAATGTTAGGGTTAGCGTTTAGAATAAGGTTAGAGGTTAGGTGGTTGTAAATTGTAAAATTGTTCAAGAAAAAACTTTTTGTTTGAGAAATACGTGATACCGTATAGTTCCGAAATTAAGCACCCCTTTTTTGTTATAAGAGGTGCTTATTTTCGGATATAATTTTAAGAAT